GGGGGGGGGGGGGGGGCAGCTGCCCCCCCTGGGATTTGAGGTGCAAAAAAAAAAAAAAATAATAATAATAATCGCAAAGGTCGTCTGAAACTGTGGACACGCACAAGCATGGGAGAGGAAGGCCTTAGCGGATTGTCTCTCTTGCTTGTCCACAGAGGAAGAAACGTTATTCCTGATCCTGAGATAATCTACGAAATGAAGTCCAATTGGCGTGTTGTGTTGAAAAAATGACTGTACTTATGGCAAAATGAACCCACAATTTTTGACTTCTTATTGAGCAATATATAACAGTTAAAATGCACCAGAATGCAGTATTATACATACAGTTTCTAAAAATTTTCCACACCATGGGAGGGGGACACCCCCTTCCACCCCCTCCCCCCTCGGGGGCTCTCCCCCTCGTGTCCGCTTACTGCCCCCCCTGGCATTTTGCTCAGGCTACGGCCCTGCCACCGCACGCGTACTCTCACATGTTCTCAAATCTTGTATCACGACTCACAGTGCTAAAGAATTCCTTTTAGACTATCTCTTGTAATTTCTATTTTGTCGTGTACGTTTTTTTAATTCAATTTCTTTGCTGCTTGAGTTCGTTAATTACCTTTTTAAGCCTGTTTTTAGATACAAGATCGATGTAATGGATTGCGCTTACAATATTAAGGAGGTTTTGATGGATACATATCTAACCACACGTGCAGTTTAAATGAACTTAAATGACAGATAGAATAGGTTTTTAATACTCATTTAAATTTAACGTTTGTTAAATACTTACAAAAAAAAAAAAAAAAGATGCGTGTTCAACAAGCAAATGTACTTAATTTTGGCAGAAAAAAATTAAATTAGCATGTACTTTTCACAAAATTAACATGTACTTTTCACTCATAAAAAAATAATATTTATTTCGAGAGAACAGTTTCATTAGCTCTGTATGTATAAATTCAAATTACTGTTTTTCTTTTTATCAAGAGCTTGTAAAATATGTGGGTATTACCTCCAATATTTCTGTGACTGTCAGTCACCATCATCAGGGAGTAAATGACTAGGGTCATTTCACCTGGAATGAAAATCCAGGTCAATTGCCCCTAATCACTGGCCTTGTGTTGTAACTGTTACTTGCTCCCCCCGGGGCTCCTCTGCATCCCTCTGGAGCACCGTGAGGTAGATAGCTGGTAAATCATACCCCCCCTGTCTGTTCAGGNAGTCAAATGTGGAACCTGCCAAGGAGAATACATTGGCGAGACAGGAAGACCATTAGCCACAAGAATGAAAGAACACAAAGACTCAGTGGCCAAAAACAACTGGAAATCAGCCCTTGGAGAACATACCTGCAAACATCCAGGTCACCACATAGACTTTGACAGCCTGAAAGTGATAGACAGGGAAAACTGGACATTCCAAAGAAAAATAGCAGAAGCTGTACACATCAGGACCAAACAACCAGACCTGAACAGACAGGGGGGGTATGATTTACCAGCTATCTACCTCACGGTGCTCCAGAGGGATGCAGAGGAGCCCCGGGGGGAGCAAGTAACAGTTACAACACAAGGCCAGTGATTAGGGGCAATTGACCTGGATTTTCATTCCAGGTGAAATGACCCTAGTCATTTACTCCCTGATGATGGTGACTGACAGTCACAGAAATATTGGAGGTAATACCCACATATTTTACAAGCTCTTGATAAAAAGAAAAACAGTAATTTGAATATTTATTTCATCTTTCACTCCTTGAATACACTTTTGACAGAGGCACATATATTTATCCAAGACCTGATATTTTTCTTTAAATGCCATACCTGCGCAGCATTCACGAAAACGGCATCGTTTTCAAGATGTTTTAAAATGTATTTTAAGTTAAGTAAAAATCGTTTTAAATACAACGAGGGGAAAGGTAGCGTGTTTAAGTATCCATATCAAAGTTCCCTTACCTGTTCATATATTATAAAAGTTAAGATATAACCGCAGTAAGTCAAATGTATGCTGGGACTCGTTATATGCACGGGTCTTAGGGTAAATTTTTAAGGGCAACGGCAACAGAATTGTGTGGGCAAAATGGTTATTACACGGTGAACTGGTATTTGTGGTTAATGTATATATTCTCAAAACGCGTTGTTGCTGCTTGGTGCAAAATTCCTTGGTGCCATATGAGTTCAGCGAAAACTATTGGTGACATTACCTACATACACTTAAGATAATCTAACCAGAGACACAGGAATTGACCTCAGTGATCTAGGCGAGGTAAAACAGGATCGTACTGTTTGGAGAGACGCCATGTTTAACCCTCTCACCCCCTGTGGTCGAGAGATGGCGATGACCAATGGCATTACGTCACGTCACCTTGTTAAGAGTGTCCAAGAATGAGAAGACCACTGCATTCAACAGTACGAGTCTTGACTTTTAATAAAACTGGCATGCTATTGCGTTAGTTTGATGCTAAATACACTCAGGCCTGTAGCCAGGGGGGTTCAAGGGGTTCGAAAGAACTGCCTTTTTGCCGGGAAAAGGTCCCCTCTGGCTTGGACATAATTTCGTAATTTTGTCCATGCCTTTGGGTTAAATTTTATCTTGATACATGAATGTTTCATGGTAAAAGATTCACTTTTTCAGAAAAAAGACCCCCCCCCCCCCCCCTTTGAAATTGCTGGGTACGGGTCTGACACTGTACTCATTGCCTGCCCATGTACTTTGAGACATTTCAAGATATGAACCCTTCAAAAAAGATATTGTTGCTACTAATCACTGTGTGCAGGAAAAATCGCCTGGCGTGATATATGTAACTAGACGAAGGAATGCGGACGATGATTTTACAAGCTTCTAACTAGAAGGATGCAACTTAGTTGGCGCATTCGGAAGTGGGAAGGGCTTTTCCTTAAACATTTTTATGCATACCTGAATTTTCTAACAGGGGTGAAAGCACACTGGTGACCAAAGGGTGGTCGTTCACAGGTCCGTCGGCAGTTGATTCGGAGGGGGAGGGGGGAGTGTTTAACAAACTTACCTTTTAACCGGAAAAGTCTAACATCGAATCAGAATGAAAATTTGAGCTAGTTCTCCAGGACTAAGAGGGGTAAAAGTCAACTGTTTCAGAAAAAAAGACTCTCGCTTTTAAAAATATTGACTATACGTACATTGTACGCACCTGTATCATATGCATTAAACAGCAATGGGGACTGAAAAAGACATGACTGCTGACACCACAGCTATGGAACGACACTATATACAATAATATTGCCAATATTCTATATCGTTTTAAAACTACCAGTACGATGTAGTATAAGGCGGGTACATGTATATTGCTGAAACTGATACGGATGCAAACACATATCATGCCATAAAACGTCTCTCCATGAATTACTTTTCCGTATCTGTGTCATTATCACTTCGAAAATTCGTAGCCTAGATTGAGGCAGTAAAATAGTGTAACAAGCACAGTAAATACGCAACCACATAAATGTAAACACTCACGTACACACGCAGTGAGAGAGAGAGAGAGAGAGAGAGAGAGAGAGAGAGAGAGGGTGAGAATGCTTGGCTTGATGTAATGTACATACGTTGTATATTTTTCTGAACATACACGGATCTGTACGTACTGTAATCCGGTGAGTAAATACAAACAAAGATAAAAGCTACAGATACCAGCTGGCCTCCTTGTCTTCAGATGTATGTTACAGACAACATAGACAATGTTGACTTAAGCAGTTACGAATATGACGACAAAATACACCTCGGTCTAGTTTACTATCATACTGCATATCTGTATACCGTACAAAAATATACATAGAAATATCTATAGAATCTACGCCCCAATACACGGACACTGGGTTTAGGGATTGTCCGTGCCGTGTCACCAGCAGGCAAATTGGCCCACTATAGCGTCTCGGGCCAGCGCGTAAAAAGGACACCGATGTGAGGGTCACGCCCGAAAATTTCGGGACACAAACATACATTCTGTTCCACTCAGTACATATATACGTATTCACCGTGACATTGAACACGGAACCCGTGCCTTTAGGCCTAAATTTGACACCTAGCTGTGACATACGGGTAAACTGTATAACATATCAACTTTGCATGAACTAGCAGGCTCACCAGCTGGTTATCTGCCATATATTTTCAAGGTGTAGTCGCACTGCCCCAGGCCTCAGCAGTGAGACGGACACCTGTTAATTTTTTTCATTTTCTTTTGCCCCGAAAATATGCGTTTACCAAATATGTAATTCCAATACAATAAAATATAGGTTATGTAATAAATAACAGGGGTGTATTTACTCGCGGTGGACAGTTGCCTCGGGTTTCGGCCTTCTGTGCAAGGTAAATGTAAGGCCGAAAACTGAGGAAAGGTGGGCAGCGGCAGGCTTTCACGTAGGAATACATACAGACAATTAATAGGTGAGAGAAGGGTCGACACTGACAGTAATCGTATATATTGACGCTGGCCATCGTAATGTACTCGTACGAGTCGTTGGCTCGACATTCAAACATACCTTTCTAAACTGCTCGACTGTTTAAATCTCAGTGGAAGTCTATCACAATGCTACACGGTACAAAGCTTCTCGTTTCGTTGGTCCCGTTCTCCCCAAAAGGTGAGGTCTCAAATGTATATCCGACTAACAGTGTCCGGTCGGAATTTCTTCCCGTCGTGCCACAAGTACTCAGTTTTATATGTCCAGCGTGGTAAACAATCACACTCCTGTGTCTGTGTACGGCTAAAGGTGTTCAGTGCTATCCAGTCACACGGCTATATATACTATAATAACAGTGGCGCAGGTGAGTGAGTGGGTCTCATTTACATATCAATAAACACCAAGGCAGATATCAAACCTTGCACGACCCATTTAAGGGGGTGGCAACATTTTTTTGCGCACGTAGTTCGAAAATGTGGCTTAAAGAGTTGACATGATAAATGTACATTTTCATGACACTTGCTCTGATGACGCAATCTTATCGCTTTGAGGATTTTAAATAAGCTAAGTGCGAAGTGTTTTGAAACATGTGAATGTCAGTTGGTTCTCCGAGACAAGCAGATCTCATATTTTTGATTATTCTATTTATTTATTTATTTATTTATTTATTTATTTATTTATTTATTTTTCCTTTTTCGTTCCATTATTTGGGCAACTTAAATTGATCCGACCCGCTTCTACTTGGAAAATATGTTTGAACAGAATCCAGGGCGCTCATGCACCTCACTATCAATTAGGCCTTGTGTGGAAAATGCCTTTTCGCGTTAATTCTAATCCTTTCATCCTCGCTATTCAGTATTGGCTATGATGAGTTCCATCAAATTTCAGTCTGTCGCGATTGAAAGTTTTAAGATATTCTTTATACGTCTCTGGTAGAGAGTAGAAAAAATGTATCTGTCCTCCGTAGCCAGTGGCCTAATCACGACAAACCCCAGGGGGTCTGAAATTAATATTTTCTCTCGCTCTCATACCTCAAAATGAATGGTTACATTTTGCCTTTTGGCGTCTTGCTGGAAAATATAATACGCGTTACATGTTTGCTAGAAGGTGTAGTTGTGTAGCTGTGTAGTTGTGAACAAAGGATATTACGGTATGCACAGTCCATCTCGCTGCTTTTGGTCAATCACCATTGACACTGACCGTATATAATAGGTAGTGAATGAATAGAATATATTGCTCACCTGACTATGACAATTGTGAAAGATGTAAGTTAAATGAAATAAGAAAGCTCGAAGACGGGCCACTATGTGATTAAGTTGCCTATAGACCGTTGCTCAATACAACACCACCACGCCCCCTCACCCCCGCAATACAACGTCACTTCCCCTAACCTCTTTAGGTCATTCCCTAGGTTTTTATAGGCAGGTGAGTCATTGCTGATCATGAATGCTTGTTTTCTTCCGGTGCGGGCTTGGCGGGGACACCCGGAAAAACACGAAAATGTGAAAGTACAAGTAGATCGGTGTCATACGTCGAGCCGGAAGTATGCAACATACCTAGTTCTGGTGCACCTGTGTGTGTGTGTTTTTTTAATGAGCTGATATTACTAACTGAATTTGAACACGCAAACCTTAAGCACATTACAGGTAGATGTGCACGGGTCCATGCAGTGATAAAAAAGCCCACATTACTGCTATTAATAGTACGTATCATAAAAAATAGACAAGTTATAAATATATAATAAAATGTGACGGGTGCAAATTATGAGAATAAATGCACAAAAACCAGTTATTTTCAAACAGGTGACGTACAAAGGATACATTTTAAAAGGTTGATTGTCAAGGGGAAATAACGCAATACTTTTCCTGGCATTTCATGTAACTTTTATGAGTATTAATCATTATTATTTTTTATTATTATTTTGCACTAGTACCCGGTACGTTGAATATTTCCGGCTCGACGGAAGACACCGATCTACTTGTACTTTCACATTTTCGTGTTTTTCCGGGTGTCCCCGTCAAGCCCGCGCCGGCAGAAATTTATAAGGGGAAATAATGCAATACTTTTTCCTGGCATTTCATGTAACTTTTATGCGTATTAATCATTAATTTTATTTTTTTTTTAGATATGACTCTTCTTAATCATTTGAATCCACCTTGATTGTATGTCTGGTTTTCTTAGAAATAACGACAATTGTCAAAGGATCGGACGCTGCACCGATGACTAATATACTTATCACAGAATAAAATCAAAACGGTTTCAGTTACTTAACTGCAATTGCGAAACATTTTACTTCCCCAAGGGGCGACTTTCATAATTTGTCGTTTTTAAATGACGTACCAGTAATAATGGTGTTAACTTTAAAAACCGAGTAAGATAGTTACAGTGGCTGCACGTTAGGTGCTTTAAATAAATAACTAATCATAAGGTCAACAGGTGCATTTCGTATTTTCTTTTTTTTTCTTGTAGTTACCTCCTCCCCATTTTTTTTTCTTTTTGCATACTTACACTCAGGTTGCTCTCCACACTAACACTTGGCGTGGACAGAATGCGGTAACGCTCTTCTGGCTTCATAATGGCGCCGTGTACGAAGTTTTTCTGTTTCTATCACAGGTCTGAGGTTTGATTTTCACTTTGGATTTTAAAGTTAGTCTGAAAGTTTTTCTCTTTCTTTTTCTTTTTGCTAAGATATTTTTTCCTTTAGTTAGGGGGTAAAGTGTATTTTTATATTTGTGAAAGCTGCTTCAGATTTTCTGATCGAGTGTATCTATCTAACTTGATGGCAGGCGAGTGAATATTGCTATTCTCGATGGAACAACATAAAGTCTTTTGAGGTAGTGAGATTTGATTCCTTTCTAGATAAAAAATAAGGAATGGCATCGATATCGTTCCGTACTATGCTGCCTTTGTATAACAACCACAAGTTTACACACCCAGCTCCACAAAATACAATGTTCACGAATTCTGGCAGTCGGCTGTTTTATCAAATAACCCTGTCCAAGATTTAATAATTATTTTGTTGATTTCCCCTGAACACCCGCCTCCACGCTCTCCCCTCACTCCGCCCTCTCCCTCTGTACGAATTGTTACGTCAGTTTCGTCCTCGCACTCCGCTCTATCGTATCTTTCTCCCTCGAGTCCTATACTCTGCACGTTTCGCCGCGACCTCCGACCTCAGTGTAGTAGGCTGAAGTCTTGCAACGTCCGTACAATTCCCCTACTGTCTCTCGCTGTTTTATTCTAGCGATATTCTTGTATCTCAGTACTTGGTCTGTACTAGCTATAACGTTCCGTTCCGAGACTCTTTCTTTCCTTGAATTTGACGTTTGTCGTGCCACGCCCAGCTGTTTTTCTCTCCGTCTTGTGCCGTCTCCTTCTACGTGCGCTGCGAGGCACGTTTCGTTCACCTTTTCACTCTCTTTCCTATCGACCCTCTCTCTCTCTCTCTACCGGGATGTTGCCACTCTCCACTCTGCGCCGTATCAAACCTCGTCTTTACTGATATAGACTACGGAAAGGTCAAAACTGTTGTCTATTGAGGGGTGGTGGGTACGCTCGGATTATTATATTATTCTTTTTTGTAGCTGAAGAAAAAGAAAACAGTCGTTAAATATAGCTTTCGATTAGCTTTAGATACGACGATAATGGAAATTTGACAAAAAAAGGGAAGTATCGGTAGTCGATTTAATTTTGCACAATTTTCTTACCCCTCTGCTATGCCGTGTGTATTTTTTTTTCGTTTCTCCTTTTTTTTCGTGCACCGCTTGACCGACGTGTGGGTTATGAGAGATAAACCGGGTATCTGGGCACCCTCTAGTGCCGAAGTCACTTCAAACGAACGTAACCCGTCGCGTAAACTTTTCACTCTACTTTCCACTCCCTCTCTTCTCATATAACTTTCTCTTAGATCCTCCCTTTCTCTCTTTCTCTAGTTCCAAATCTCTCTCTCTCTCTCTCTCTCTCTCTCTCTCTCTCATATAGAAAAACACAAAAATTTGAGCATGCATTTTCCCTCAAAAATGACCACGTGGTTTGACTGCATTGACCTGAACGACCTGAACGTGAGCTTGGAAATTCTACTTGTAGGCCTATGTGTCTGATTTTAACTCAGAATAGGTAGGAGGACACCCTGACAACTCGAAGAAAGGTAGTCGTGAGCCCTTTGTTACTGACGGGCGGGGTTGCTGAGGACTCAAATACCATGAAACTGAAATTGTTGGAATTGTTTAGTTGTAATAGAATGGAATGAAACGAAGTAAGAGAATTGAAAATTGCTAAACCAAGTTGAAATTGCTCGATAAATTGAGTGAATTGAAAAAAAAAAAAAAAAAAAGAAGTGCAACAAATGATGAATCTGTGGCAGCATTCAATCGAAATGATATAAAATGTAGAGAAAATCACACAAGACACAAGCACATAAGACAGTAAGACCGCATTCAGAACAGTGAACTAACTAGTCCGAGGGTCAAATATGGCCGACCCACGGGGAATCTATTCAGTGTCTATTAGCGGATTAGACGACAAGCTTTTTTAGTGGGTCGCCATATTTGACCTGCGGACTAGTTAGTCCACTGTTCTGAATGCGGCCTTAATTAATCACTCACCGTCAGTCCGGCGCTGTTTCGACCTACGTAATATTATCTTTAACAGCGTGGGTATTATCACGTAGCTGTCTCCCCCCTGGTCAACTAAGATAGCGAGGTATAACGTAGAGGGGATAGCGAGTGCAGAGAACGGCGAGAGCGTCCGCGTGTGATGACCGTTATCGGACACAGCGTCTGGCTCGGTGCAGAAAAACTATCAGTGGTCAGTCGGTGTGCTAGGGAGCAATTATTTCGAAATGCGACATTATTATTATTATTATTACTATTATTATTATTATTATTATTTTTATTCTTATTATTTATTTAGTTCTTGGTATTTATCATTTATTTATTTAACATTAAAATAAGCATATATTATTAGTTCTTGCAGACTACTACTAGACTGCAGAGGTGGAATACGAGGATAAGAGGATAACTAGAATAATTTAGAATTATTTAGAATAATTATAAAGTTAGCATTTGTACAGGGGCGGATCCAGGATTATTTGAAGGGTGTGTCCGCAGATGCCAAGCCGACCCCCTTGGCGTGGGGTTTGGGGCGTGCTGAAGCTCCCCCCCCCCCCCCCCCCAAAAAAAAAAAAAAAAAAAAAAAAAAATTTTATTTAAACAAGGAAAAAGGTAAATTTAAAGGGGG